TTATCGGATCCTTATCGGCGGCCAAAGCCTACGGGCTTTATCATACTTTGAACTTCTATCCTCAAGACCCTAGACGCCCTAGACCTCAAACCAACCTTGGGTTGGGGTTCGGACGAGCCATCCTTAAAGCCTAAACCCTAAACCCCTTAAAGGTCCTACGGCAAGAAGTCATAAACCCTCAACTCCTCAGCAGCCAGGAGCCAGCGCAGACGAGCGAGCCATGGCCAAACATTTGTATGCCTTCTCAGTTTTCGAGTTCAGGCTTTTGGGTGCGTTGTTTTGGGGGGGCACATCTGCATACATACTTGCAGAACCAAGATGCTGATCACAATGAGTTTGTGCTGGATAACATGCATATACACACGTGCACTTGCATGCATGCATAAGCACATATACGTATGTACACATGTGCATACACTCGTACATTCATGCATGCCAGCATGCGAGTCACGATGTCATTGCGTTGAGATATACAGTTCAGAAGAATTGCATGTGCTGACTTGGGTTGTGGCCTTGCAAGTATACAGGCTGTATTTACAGTTTATGGTTTCTGTAGTTTCAACCCTAAGCCTTAAACCGTGGCGGGTCCTGCTCCGTCAGAGCTAAGCCTCAGCTCCAAAGCCGTGGCTTCCCAAGACCCACAAAGCCGAAGCCCTAAACACGCACACAGACTCAAGTAAGGCCGGCAACTTGCCAGCGAGATCAGGCCATGTCGCTGTGTGGTATCATCAGACGGGCTGTTTAAGCTTTTAGGTCTGGGGCTGTCGTGGGCTCTGGGATTTAGGCCTGGCCGTGAAGGTAGAAAACAGAAAGGCACTGGGGTGTAGAGCTCAGGGTTTACATCTACATTTCAAGCGGCAATCCAAGTGCCTATGGCGAGAAGTGCTCTCGTAATTGCCTACCACCTAAGTTGGCAAGCCACGGTTGCGGGGCGCCCGCAACCTCAGATAGTTGTAGGCACTCCTACACCCTCAGCCGGTCGAGGTTCTTCGTTTAGGGTTTAGGGTTTCGGTTCATTGTTTAAGGAGCTTTAACCTTCTTATGCGTAGCCTTCGTAGGCCTTTGCTGCAGCTGGCAGGCAGCATGTGCAGCGATGCCAGGAAGTCATGGAGAAGCTGGAGGTTTGGGGCCCCAGAGCGACTAGCACCGTGCAGGGGCTCATGTTGTTGCCGCTGAGACTGGCAGAAAGGACAGGAGAAACAAATATGGCTTATAGGCATGATGGTGCTGAAGGGAAACCAAAAGGTAAAGACGAGAGTGAAAGTCTGCTTTGTGGTAGCAGCAACAGCGAACATGATTGTGATCAACATGATAGCACTGAAAAACATGGTGACGGCGCCTGTACGGGGCCGTGCGCTGGGAGACATTTTCATGTTGGCGCCAGACGGCGTCGAGGCCAAAACTCAAGCCAAACGCGCGTTTTGTCCAGATCAAGAGCTTTCGCA